CCGCCGGGCAGTGGGGGTGTCTGCAAGCCTGTTCTTTTTCTGAGGCAAAAAAACTTTGTTCCTCCGCTTTCCTCAGAGACGGGGCGAGCGTGTCTCCTTGCCCCGCGTGTGCCAGCCGAGTAAGACCACCCCGCCTGCCTTAACGGGGGTCCGCCAAGGTTTTGCGCGGGCCTTTGTCTCGAGGGAAGACGAGTCCAATGTTCCCTCTAAGCTGTGGAGTCTCCTGAGCAAAAATCCTACTTTGTGAGCGGCTGGCATGAAAGTTGTGAGCGAGCGATTGGGGCTACTGCATAGATTAGTTTGCTCTGGAGCCCCATCCCTTCCTGAGCTGGGACAACAAATGTGTGAGCTGGAGGCTAAAAAAACTGTGAGCTGGCTCACACTAACTCAGCTGAGAGGGAACACTGAAGACGACACGGAGCTGTTCGTTTCTGAATCAGACCGTTGGCCTGTCCGGGGTCCGCACTGGCCCCCTCTCCGGGGTTTCGGGGAGTTCTCACATCACTTCCTATGTGATCCTTTTAAATAGCGATTCCAGGGGCAGGAGCGGGGGGGCCCCTTCTGCGTGCCACGCAGATGCTCTGCCGCTGAGCCGTGGCAGCCTCACCTGACAGGTCCCTTGGTATGGCAGGCAGCCACGTGTGAAGTGTGCCTCCTGTCGTGTAGAGAACCTGCTGTCCCGCCCTTTGCCTGGTGCCTCGGATCTGCCTGGGATCAGTAGACTTGCCCCGATTGTGTCTTCAGATTAGTTGTGATTCTAACCGCTGTGGTGAAGAGACAAGTAATTGCATCTAAAATAGTTTAGCTCTTTCTATGGCTGATAACAAGATGTTATATGTGTACATGTACCTTTGGAGGGCGTGATGATGACTGGAAACCTTGCCTCTGAACGAGGGAGCTGGGCTTTGTGATCTTTGTCCCGCTGTGATGCCACAGCACTAGTGGTGTTTCTAGAAATACTACTGGTATTTCTGTTTCTAGCTGGTGGGTTCTGGTGATGGTTGGGAAAGAACTAGGCTAGATCAGACAGTTATTTGTCAGAATCATTTGAGGATGTCTTGCTATTTTAATTTTTCAAATATAGCTCTATGCAGGAATTTGACTTGTATTTGATTTTGTAATATTCTTGCGTTTCACTGTTTTGTAGGTGTTAGGTATAAGGTTAGGTATGTGTTATGCCTTGGGAACTGAAGGTTGATTACCTTTTTTGAGCAACAGTAGTGTCCCTGTCTCTATAGCAGGTGTACTTGTCTCTATATCAGAATGCAAAAGAAGAAATTCAGGACAAAGTAAAGATTTCAGTCTTTGTGACTGGTTCTCTGTACTGCTACAATGAGTTGATTGTGGCAAATGACTATTACTTTTTTATTTAAAATGTATGTTTTGTTTATCATTCCGAGGTGGCTTTAGAAGTAAAAATGCAATAATTCAACATCATGTATTTAAAAATTTATCAGTAAAATCCTCTCAGTGTGATAAGTAGTGGTAAAAGAAAAGGCTGGGACATAAAACAATTCCAAAAATAAACCAATCAATTATTTAAAAGCTTCAGTTAATAAGAGAGGCTTGATCTGGTCATTGCAAGAGGTACTGGGCAATTGTTTTCAAGAGGGTAGAAAGGGTAGTACCACAGAAAGGGTAGTACCAAAGATGAGTCATGAGTCAGAGAGATGGAGGGACAGAGAGAGAGAGTCAGTCTTTAAGATGCAGCAGCAGGAAGGGGCAAAGGATTTTTCGTCAACATCACCTGCTCTATCGATTACTGGAAATTATTCCCAGGATCGAAGTCGAGGGGCAAAGGATTTTTCGTCAACATCACCAACATCACTTTCTAATACTGGAAATTATTCCCAGGATCGAAGTCATATGGAGGATTTAAGGAATCACATGGAAGAATTAGGCCGTATGAACTATCTTGAGAAAAGAAGCAGAACCTTTTTCGTATATGAGAAGTTGCCTGAGTGCTCAAGATAAAGCTTAAATGGTGGTTGGATACTGTTGCTAATTACTTGTCTTGCATTTGAAGAAAATCATTTCAAATTTGATCCTTTTATTTTAGAAGGAAAGACCTTTCTACCACCAAGAAAGATCGTGTGAATCATTGCCTAACAATATGCGAAAACATAGTTGCGCAGTCTCTAAGGTAATTATATACTGGGGGGGGGTGTCTGTTAATAGAAACGCTGTTTTGCTTTCAAGGGCTGATATATGTGATGATAATTTCATTACTTTGTAAGCTGGACAGGTGAGCTCTGCATACAAGTCTAACATTAATTGCAAGGTAAAATTTATGGCTAGAGATTGATACATAATTACAAAATTTGGTCTTTCCTTTTGTGAAGTGAATCCTCTCTTGATTAGGGAAGCTAGGGAAAAAGAACTAGGGAGGGCAGCATATTTCAGGCCCTTCAGCACCGTTTTCAGCCACCGTTTTGATATATTTGTTATATAGTGTGACATGGGCCAGCTGCCCACAGAGGGCTTTGTCAAATAAAGTTAGCCACAAAAGGGAGGGGCACCCAGTATACCTGCCCATGATAGCTGGTACTCTGAGTTAATGTAGAAATACAGGTGTGACTGCCATTCCATGGGTGTGGTACTATTTTCTCAGTTTATGAGGCCCTTTTTTGAAAGTAGTTTCATATGACAGCTTTCTCCTGTCAGAGTTCAAGAAATCGTGTCTCCATGAAAAATCTGTATCTTCGAGCCCTTCTTTCATTCTCTCAACTGTCTTCATTCTGTTTTGGGGGTTTTAAACTTCTGCTTTCTTTTATAATCTAAAATGAAGATAAGACTGGATTGTGAAAATTTAGTAGTGGTCAAAAATAATAATGATTTAGTAGTGGTCTTTGTTATAAATGAGCTGACCAGTGAAGTTTCCCTCCCTTACTGCTGCATAGCTTCAATGTTTTAAGCTAAGGCCTTTTTATTCCCATAAATGTTTCAGGGCTGGATCTTTCTGCCTGGATAAGTGGCATTTCTTTCCAACTGATATGTCTGCTAATTTCCCTCATCCCACTGCAGACCCTCTTGCAGGTGTCCCTGAGGTCTACTGAACCCTAGGAGTAAGATTTTGGTAGGCTCCATTGGGAAGGGAGAGGTTGGAAAGATCTGTTCCACAAGTATGGTGCTTAGGATCCAGCCCTCGATTTTCAGCAGCGTAGGTTATATATTAACAAAACAGATTATATATTAACATGTGTAGTTAAAAGTTGCTGTCTTGTTTGAACTTGTCTTGTTTCAATCGCAAGCTATTTTTTTCCTTGTGCATCTCCTGTGTTAAGTTTAAGATTTTATCATAAGAGAATTTAAATTTGCATTCTAAGGGTTTTATACACTTTATATACTTTCAAAAGTTGTACTATCTAGGTAGGTGTAACTCATTTTAACTTTTGTTTCTTTCTTTTAGAAATTCTCCAGAGTTTCAGAAATTGCTGGGCATTGCTATGGAACTTTTTTTGCTTTGTAGTGATGATGCAGAATCAGATGTAAGGATGGTTGCTGATGAATGTCTCAATAAAGTTATAAAAGTAAGTTATGTTTAGTTTTTGGTTTTGTAGTTTTGCACATTATTCTGTTATGGGATACTTATATGTGTCTCTCATAACAAAACGAACTGTGTGTGTGTTCCGTTCTGGAGGCACATGAGATGGCAAGCACACAGAAGATAAGGAGAGATGGAAGGGCTTCTATTTGAGGACCTCACTTTCCCCAGCTGTTCCTGGATCTGTTTAACATGTGTGGTCTGGGAGTTCCTTGCTCAGATTTTGGTTCCCATGTGTGCAGGTTCCTGATTCACTTTAGGACCGTGGCATTCAGGGAGATGGCATGCCTGTTGAGGAAACTTGCATGCAGCCATTGGTACACAGTCAGTTTTCCCAGTGAGGCAAAACTCACTGGGGCCGTTTTTAGGTCAAGATAATCATGCAGGACAGGGGAAGCTGAAATCCTCTCCCATAGTTCCCAGGTTCTGAGGATGGAATTTCCAGACCATGTGTGTCTACTTGACCTGGGGATGTACATGATCTATCATGGAAACAGTAAGGATATAATCTTTCTCTCAGATACAGAGGATGTAATCAGACAAGCTGTTTTATTGGTTTGCTGTATCTCTGTTCTGTTACTTCTGTTATGCTGTTGGTTACCCAGAATTTAGAAAGAGATGTCGATCTTAGTGGGAATGTTTTTGGTGATCTCAGCAACCAACATTTCCTCTCCTCCTCTTACCATTCCAGATCAAGCAGCCCCTGTGCCCCTGGAGCTCCTTCCGCCTGGGGCATCAGGGATTCAGCATAGGGGCTCTCTCTCTTTCCTGTTGCTGATAATCGGCAACAGGGAGGAGAATGACAAGGGCTGCTATATTTCAATCAATC